AGCCCGACACGGGGCTCGATCCCAGGACCCTGGGATCATGACCTGAGCCGAAGGCAGATGCTTAACGACTGAGCCACCCAGGCGCCCCCCACGAGGGTATTCTTGACTTGCATTTCAGTAGAGCATGGCTTCAGTTCTTTATCAGTGAATATAATATTTGGTGTTAGATTTTTTTTCTTCTTTGGTAATTTTATCATATTTAAGTAATTTCCTTTCATTTTCATATTAAATTTTTTATTTAGCATATATTTGTTTTTGACCTTGGAGAGGAAGACATTTTGAAGCAAGACAGGAAACCTAAAAACCACAAAACCAACGAAAGACATACCTGACTTCACAAAAATGAAAAGAAACAGGTTTTGAATGGCAAAATACTATGAGTAAAGGCTAAGGTCAAACAAAATGGAAACTTAAGGAGGAAAGCATTTGTAAGCCATCTACCATCCCTAACATACAAGCAGCACCTACAAATCAATATGAGAAAATGAACCACTTAATAAAAAATGAGGAACGGATTCAAACAGGTAATTTTTAGTATATGTTCTGCTGAAGTGAGCACCAAACAGGTGATTTTTTTTAAGATTTATTTATTTATTTGAGAGAGAGAGAGAGAGAAAGAGAGGGAGAGAGAGAGAAAGAGAGGGAGGGAGAGAGAGGGAGAGAGAGTGAGGGAGGTTAGGAGGAACTCGGGCAGGGGAAGAGAAGAGAAAGCATCTGGTGCCAGGAACAGCTTTTTTTTTAAAGATTTGAGAGAGCGAGAGAGTGAGCACACACGAGTGGGGGGGGCAGAGGGAGAGGAAGAAGCAGACTCCCCACTTGATCCCAGGACCCTTAGACTATGACCCGAGCAGACGATTAACCTACAGAGCCACCCAGGTGCCCCCAGGATCAGCTTTCATGCTGGGAAGCAAGGACTGTGAGGCAGGAGGGGATGATGGTCCTGGGCTTCCCAGAGGCAGGGGCCTGGGAGAAGAGCGGCTTCATGAGTGTGGGAGTGGTTTTAATAGTCTTCAAGTCTCTCTTGGTGCTGTCCAACAGAACCCTGACCCAGGGGAGCCTGCAGGCCCTAAGGAAAATCTTTCCACAGTTTTTCACATCTCTTGGGGGTGGGGCGGGGGGGGGAGGAATGCGTAGTTCATTCATTCATTCATCCACTCATTTACTTAAGAAGCATCTATCCCACTGCCTCTCCCATGGTGGGTGGTAAGGGTAAGTCTATTCAGGACAGACATGGCCCTGCCCATATGCAGCTTCCAGTGTGGTGGGCGGTCCACACTCCAGTGCTGGTCACTTTATTTCTGCCCGGCCCTGAGCTCAGTTTTGGTTGAATGGGGTGCTCTAAGGGCTGTGCTTAGCACACAGGCTCTCACTTGGACCACAAACTGCAGTTTGGACGCCAGCCAACTGCTGGGCACCTAGGCATGGCTGCTGGTAGGGCTGGGGAAGGGAAGCCACTCTTGGAGCTGGAAAAATGCTAATTGGTTCCCCAGTTGTCAGTGGTCTGGAAAGGCCCCGTGGGGCCCCTACACCAGACTCCCAAGGCTGCCGGCCGGGGGCTGTCTGCTGCGGGAGTCTGACAGCCTGGAGACCAGCTTGAGAAGGAACTGGGACTGAGGCAACAGCCCCTGGCAGCTCGGGAGGCTTCCAGACAGGCAAGGCAGACTATTAGTTTGGGGCTGCCACAGACTTGACCTCCAGGCCTGCATACCACCAGGAAGCCACAGAACGGCTAGCGTGGGGCTGACCTCCCCTCGCCCCGGGCCCAGGCCCATCATAAGGATGGTTCCAGCTGGCCTGGGCTTCCAGTCTCCCACAGGTATCCCGTAGCCACCCGAATGCCTCTGTGAGGACATGGCCATGTCTGTAATGGCCAAGGGACCCAAACGCAATCGGAAAGCACAGATCCCAGCTTCTGCACAGGCTCATCAGAGAGGACAGCTACGGCTTGGAAGCAGCTCAGGAGCAGTCAGCTTGGGTGTGACCCGTTCCTTGCAAACCCCTGGCGCTTTGGTTCGCATGGCACAGAACCTCTGGGCTTTCGTCCTCCCTCCCCAGCAATGCCTCCTCCGTCTCCTCCACCAGCTCCTAGTCTTCCTTCCTCTCGACTGTGGGTTTCCTCAAGTTCAGGCCTGCCCACCCCACGTACTCCATGCACCCCCAGGGTACCCCATCTCTGCGTGTGTGCAGACACCCCCTGGGCCTCCCCAACCAGCCTGGGGCCAGCAGCCCTCACTTTTCCGCTACCCATGGGCAAGACACATAAGTCACCTGTCTGGGCCACCTCTTCCTGCTTGGCACTAAAATGGGGATCATCACAGAGCTGCAACACGCCTGGCCCAGGGCCTGCATGAAGGATGCGCTGCCTTGTGCTCTGGGAGCCTGAAGGCTTCTGACCCAGTCTGCAGAGGGAGCCCAAGTTCACCTGGGGGACCGCCACATGGCCCGGCCTGGCCGCAGTGCAAACTCAGTTAATACACCGAGCCGCCTGCAAGCGTGTGGGCTGCTGGTCTCCTCGCCCATGTCACTAAAAGGGCATCTGTGTCTGCATGACTGAGGAGAGAGAGGCTCTGCCCTTCCCAGGGGTGTGTGTGCATGCACGTGTGTGTGTGTGTGCGGGTGCGTGCACATGTGTCCTGTGCGGATGCCGAGCAGATGGGGCGGTGAGGGCCCCTGGGGCCTCCCCTCCTCAACCCACTCAAAGCCACATTCTGTCTCCCCAGCTGCAACTCCTCCGTCAGCCCAAGGGACACAGATGCACCCTGATGGTGTGGGGGCAGGAGGAAGCCCCAGCTCGAGGGTGGAAAAGGGCCCGAGTGGAGGAGGGAGCCACTTCTCCAGAAAACCCCATTCCGGGCTCTTCCCTGAGGCCCACGGCCCCCCTGGGGCCAGTCCCAGCATGGCCTGCTCCCCTGCCTGCCCGCCCTCCCCAGGGCCACCTGCACTTGCCCACGGTCCCTACAAGGGCTTCGCTGTGGCAGTGATGGCTGGGGAGGCGAACTCGTGGGAATGAGAAGTGCAAACAGAGTCCAGGAGAATTAGCTAGCAAGGCCTTCTGCACAAAGAGCTGGGGGACGCTGAGGAGAAGGCTTCAGGAGAACAGAGGCCCAGCTGTTACTTCCAGTCCTGTCTGGAGGGGCTGACCTATAGCCAATGTTTACCTTCTACAGGATATCACTCGGCAACCTTCAATGTTTTATAATAAACACACCTTACTCTTGCAACAAGAGAAAAAAAGCTCGAATGATAAAAAGATAGATGCCAGGTCCTAATCCAAAGACAGAAATCTTTAAGAGCCCCACAGAAACAGCTCCCATGTCTCCCCCCACCCCAGCATCAGGTAAGCCCCCCATCCCTCTGGCTGTTTTCTCTCATTAAGAACCCTCAGTCTCTACGTCTTGGGCTGAAACCTGGACCCTTTAGGGCAGAAGGAGCGAGGGCCCAGAGGACAAGACCCTGCCTTTTGGTCCCAGCTCAGCCATACAGCAGCTCAGTAAGTGCATCCTCTTCTCCAGTCTCAGGCTACCCGTGTACAAAACAGGGCTTAAATACCTGCTCTAATCACCTTTGGAGCCTGTTGTGAGACTGGGAATTTTAAAAATTAAGATCCCGAACATTGAAGCATCATGCAAGCTGTGGGGGGCTGTCTACCACACCAGGTACTGTTACCACCAGTGGGGCCGAGCGCCCCTTCTGACGGTGGCCACCGGGCATGCCACCACAGCAGTGCAGCCTGCGCAAGGACCAAAGGACTCCGGGCACAGTCAGTTTGCTCATTAGGACCAGGGCAGCCAGGAGTCCTCCCTTCCTGAGACGCAAGACAAGCGCTGAGAAGAGACGGTACGGGCCAGCTTCGGAAAGATGCGTTCTCATACTTGGAGAGAAACCTCAGTAGGTACCGCATTTCTGCAAAGATCCCTAGTGCTCATGGCATCTCCGGCCCCAAATGAGCGCTTGCTTGTGAAAAGGCCCCCAGGGGACCCTCCTGCGGCAAGCGATCACTGTGCGAAGGTCCAGCCGCTCACATGGGCGCAGGGGGGAGCGGAGGGACAGGGAGGCACGATGCGCCAGGATGAGCCCCGTGGCAGCTGTGGCCAACGCTGGCCCGGTGCCCGTGGTGCTGCCCAGCTGGCTGACAGCGGGAGTGTGACGGCTGCTATCCCGGGACAGGGGGTAAGGGGGACTTACCTCTCCCTCGGGCCCACGTGTAGACACGACCAGTCTCAGCGCTTCTGGGCTTTTGCTCAGTGGGCTCCATGGGCCAAGGTCGGAAGTGGGGGTCATTGGCCCGGCCAGGGGTCTTCAGCGGCAGGATGTACTTGGGGAGCCCTTTGTAGAACCAGGCCCCCGACCTCTTCCAGACCTGGCAGGGGTGACATCTGCTTAGAGCAAGGGACGCACAGCAGCCCTCCCTGTGCTGCGCTCCCACGCTGGCCTGCTCTCCTCTCCTGTTGGAAAGTGCTCCACACTGTGGGCGCCCAGAAGGTGCTCTGCAGATGCCACCCACATTCCTCCCACCTGCCCCTTCCCTCGAGGCTCTGGGGCAGAGCGAGCGACAGGAGGCTCGGCGAAGGGTTGGGCTCGGGGACCGAGCAGTATCAGAAGCTGTTCTAGAGAGCTCCCCGGGGACGAGGCTATCCCTGCAGGTGCAGGGAGGGCCCCGACTGCAGAGAGCCCCAGGTTAGAACTCACACCAGCACTGAGATAAGGTCCCTGAACTCTTCATGCCTCCTTCAAGAAACGCCAAGTACTCCACAATCTCTTTTCCACCGAAGGAAATACGTTCAGGGTATTCAGTAAGAGGAGGGGGAGAGCGGGAAGGAACGTGACCTTCTTAGAGAAGACCTTGGCGGTTCAGAGCAGACGGCCTGGGTTTGGATCTGGATCTGGCAGCTGTGAGATCTGGACACATCGACCTTCCAGATCCCCAGTTTCATCACCAGTAGGTGGAATGTAGGAACGGGGCCCCCCCTCACAGGGCAGCCACAAGGACCAGACTCTTGAACGAATGTAAGGTCCCACTGCCCAGTGCCGGGCACAGAGCAGCCCCTCGACAGAGGTGACGCTCATGATCATCCCTGCCACCCGCTTCCTCTCATCTGCCACACATGGAAGTTTTACAGCCAGTGGACCAAGTTCCCTACTTAAAAGAGAGAATTTATTTATTTTGGGGGGGGGTGGGCAGAGGGAGATGAGAGAGGGAATCTTAAGTAGGCTCCACGCCAGGCTCGATCTCACAACCCTGAGATCATGACCTGAGCCAAAATTAAGAGTTGGATGCTTAACCAACTGAGCCTCCCAGGTGTCCCTCAAAAGAGAGAATTTAAAATCAGAAGGCTGGAGGCTGCCCCGATTCTCTCTAGGACAGATTTTCCTAATCCCCAAGCCTCCTCTGTACAGTAGTTCTGTGGGTATTAACATGGGCTGGACCAAAAAAAAAAAAAAAAGGTTCCTGATCACGTATACTTGGGAAGCACTAGGTTAAATGAAGCATTACTGCAGGACTTCTCAGAGCCTTTATTTAAAAAAAAATTTTTTTTTTAAAGATTTTATTTACTTGACAGAGACACAGTAAGAGAGAGAGAGAGAGAAAGAGAACACAAGCAGGGGGAGTGGGAGAGGGAGAAGCAGGCTTCCTGCTGAGCAGGGAACCCGATGCGGGGCTCGATCTCAGGACCCTGGGATCATGACCTGAGCCGAAGGCAGATGCTTAACAACTGAGCCACACCAGTGCCCCATTTCAGAGCCTTTAAGATGCCAATGTACATAGGGTTCTCCAACAGAGCCAAAGAACATACTGTGCTTCCCACTTGGAATCTACTCAACAGGTTTTCCTAGAGAAGCTCAACCCTAGTAATTGGTCTGTATAGACTCAGCACCTAACTGTGCAGCACTGAAATCACTCAACTATCACGAGTCATCTCTTTATGCTCCAGAGTGCCAGGCATGGGGCCACTGAGTTTCAACCCTGTCCCTGGCTTGAATCACTCGCCCCTCCCTCCCAGCTACCTTGTGCAGAAAGGGCCTGCTTTTGTGTGGCTCTTGAATAACATAGAACCTATCTATTAGGATGAATGCCTCGTGGCGCCCCCTTTAAAAAACCCTTCCTGGTCCTCTCATGGCCCTCTTACAGAAAGTATTTATTTGACTTGATAGCGTGTACACATGGCCTAAAATTCACCAAGTGCAAAATTAAAGTCTCCTCCCCATTCCCAGAGGCATCTGGTGATAAGTTCTTTGAGGAAGCTCTGTATTATCCACACTTTCCAGACGGGAAAATCGAGACTCCGACAACTTAAGCAACTTGCCCAAGGCCAGCCCACCATTCTACTGGCCTCTATTCCACACTGGAGGCCCCAGAGTCTTATCCCAGCAGTCTACAGATGCAAAGTAGATGCTCACTAAGTGTGGCTGAGTGGTGGGTAAAGCCTCAGCAGGACAGACATCATTGTGGACTGAGTGTCCAGCAGACTGGGCGCCTGCAGGGGAGGGAGCTGCCATACAGGGAGAGGGAATGGGTTTAAGCAGTGGCCGCCAAAGCCACCCTGTCTCTGCAGAGCTGCTATGTGGTTCCTGAGAACAGGGGCCCAAGCCCAAGAGGCCATGGGTGGCCAGCGAGGGGCACACTCTGCCTCCCATCAGTGCTACCTTTGCCTGCCCTCCCGAGCACATAGGCCTCCTGCCTCCCAACATGGGCTGGGCCTCAGGGGGAGCAAATGGAGCGAGCCCTCAAGAGCCATCTGTATACCCTGGGCATGTACACAATTTGTTCTGAAGGATCCTGTAGATGCACCCTGTGTTTGCTTCCCACCTAACTCTACATCAGGGCAACCGTTCTGTGTTAATAAGTAATGGTCTCCACAGCCACTTTTTAATGGCTTCATAGTTTGAATTTGTTAAACCTAATTAAACCAGCCCTCCACTGATAGACATTTAAATGGTTTCCAAAGTTTCCCTCTTGTGAACAGCGCTGCAATAATCATCTCCGCACACATATCAGACAGGTGTCTGTCTGTAACGGCCTTAGAAAAAACCCCGGGGGGCGGATCTGCTGGGTCAAGGCATGTGTATCCATTGAGATGGTGAGATACATCGTCAGACCACCCTCCAGGAAGAAAAGCTGAGTCTCCAGTGGAGTGCTAAGTGTCTTCAGGGTGGAAAGCCTGCACTACACTTCCTGGTGGGATCTAGGGTCTGGCCTGGGGACCGGGCTCAGAGCAGTCCCCATGGGCTGGCGGATGTGGGGGAGGTGCGTGTCAGGACCCGAGGCCATCAGAGTTAGGTGCCACAGGAGGGAGGATGGGGACCCCACGGTCACCCCTGGGGCACACTGTCATGTGGGCCTGTTTGAAGGGGACTGGGCAGGACAACAGCGAGGGTGACTCAGTGACATGGTTTCCATGTCACTGTTGTGTGGCTTTCAGTGGGAGAGACCAAGATGCTATGGAGCTGCGTTTGGGGATTCCACGGGGCCAGACGCATCCCTGATCCTCACTGAGGCTGGGACTGTGGTTCTGGCCCATGTGTGTGCATAGTCCTTGCTGTCTTTATTTTAATTTAAAAAATATCCATAGGGGCGCCTGGGTGGCTTGGTCGGTTGAGTGTCTGCCCTGGGCTCAGGTCATGATCCCGGGGTCCTGGGATCGAGCCCACGTGGGGCTTCCTGCTCAGCGGGGAGTCTGCTTCTCCCTCTGCCCCCATCCCCACCCAACCACCCTGCTCGTGCACACTATCAACTAAATATTAAAAAAAAAAAATCCGTAACATGTAATTTACCACCGTAGCCATTCCTAAGTTTATGGTTCAGAAGTGTTAAGTACATTCATGTTGTATAGCCAATCTCCAGAGCTCTTTTTATCTTGTAAAATGGGAATTCTGCGCCCATTGAACAACAGCTCCTTATTCCCCTATCCACCCAGCCCCTGACAGCCATCATTCTACTTCCTGAGAATTTGACTCAGAGAATTTGATGACCCCAGGTACTTCATATGAATGGAACTGTCGGGTATTGATCTTTTTGTGACTGGCCTCTTTCACTTAGCATAAGATCCTCAAGGTGTTGCAACCTGTGTCAGAATTATCTTCCTTTTTGAGGTTGAACAGTATTCCATTGTAGGTCTATACCACATTTTATCTAGTCATTCATCCACTGATGGACACTTGGGTCATGTCTACCTTTTTTGGCTGGTCCTTTCATTTTATTTATTTATTTTTTAAAGTTTTTTTTTTTTTTTTAAGACTTTATTTACTTGACAGAGAGAGAGCACAAGCAGGGGGAGCGGCAGAGGGAGAAGGAGGCTCCCCGCTGAGCAGGGATCCCAATGCAGGGCTTGATCCCAGGACCCCAAAGATCATGACCTGAGCCGAAGGCAGACACTTAACCGACTGAGCCACCCAGGCACCTTTCATTTTTACAGACCACTAGGCTCTACCATCCAGGAAGCGGGGGCAGGGCAGTCACCACTGTTATCTTCAAACTCCTAGCACATGCCTGACACACAGTTTGTGCTCAACAAACACGGGCTGCATGGCTGAACTGGCAGCTATAGGCAGTTTGCCGGAATGTGTCCCAATCCATATAGTTGTCACCTTCCTGGAGATGTGGCCTGAGGGTTTCACCTAAGTCCTTGTAATTAATGAAATGGATTTATTGTTTCAGATTAGAGAGGGATAAAGAAGAAGTGTTTAGGAGTCCCTGGGTAGCTCAGTCAGTTAAGCGTCTGCCTTTGGTTCAGGTCATGATCCCAAGGTCCTGGGATCAAGCCCCACATCGGGCTCCCTCCTCAGCGGGGAGCTTCTTCTCTCTCTCCTGCTCCCCCTGCTTGTGCTCTCTCTCTCTCTCTCTCTGTGTGTGTGTAAAATAAATAAATAAAATCTTAAAAAAAGAAGAAGAAGAAGTGCTTAGCAGGGCGTGACAGTGCCCAGCAAGCTCCAGGGAACCTCCCTGACTCTGCACTCCCAGCACTTCCTCGAGCACCAGTACGACCTGCAGCCCTGGCTATCCCACGCTGCCCTGGCTCATCATAGCCAGCAGGCCCTGGGCCCTCAGCCTCACCTCCTGATGCAATGTTCTACCTCCACCCCAACCCCACGCTTAAAAAAATACTGATTAGTAAAGTGCTTTTAGAAAATAGGATAAAGAGGGCAACCCTCTCCGGTCCCCTCCCTCCTCGGGAGCTTTGTACTATCACTTTGCTCAATAAACCTTGCTTTGCTGCCCTCCCCCCACCCAAAATAAGATAAAAGAGCCCAAGACCTAAAGTATTAGGCTGAATTGCATGAACATGCAGACAGTCAATGGTTTTTGGTATTCAGTCATTTTTGACCTATAAGTCCCCCTGTAAATTTCATATAATTCATTCT